AGCATAGTACGGTGTATGTTAAGCTGGTTATGGGAACCGCCATAGCGTGGTCACTGTCGCACGTTGGGTTAGACTTAACTAAGTCTTGGTCAAATGGATGGACGACTCAGAGGCAGTAAGTTGGGGTCATCAATGACAAGTCGGATGATTTTACTCACTCATCCAGCCAGGAGTTGGATCTTTATGATTTAATTGGAACTCTGTTCCTAACCAAAGTAGTCTGCTTGTAAGACGTGCCTCAGCCAATTACAAGTACGGTGAAAAGGTGTCCTGGTCCGATTGTAGTAATATTGTTCGCCCAACACCAGACCAAGAGCTGAGAGCCCAGCTCATCAGTTGGAACTATGTTCCTACCTAAATAGTTGTCTTGTGGAGTAACGCCCAAGCGGAACGCAAGATAATGAAATATGGATCTTGGCCCACTAGAGGTTTCACCGGAAATCTCCGAATCAATATCGAGGGTTATTGATTTGTTAAAAATAGTGGGAGATAATTAATTAAAGGCCTAATTAATTATTAAACATGATAGATAACCTATTTTGCAAAATTTTTGTAGATGGCAAATCATTTGATATCATGCACATAATATTCATTTCAAGGATTCAGTATTCAATATTCATAGTGTCAATAGTGCTCTTAAATTGTTTTTTGTCTAAGGCCAAATTCATATTGATAAGAAAGCTCTTAAACTATTTTTAGTATAAGGCAAATATTTCTAACCAACTCATAAACTACCTCGCGAGGCTTCAACTAAGTCCTCGCCCTACGAGGCACAAAAGTCTTCTCCCGAGGTCGGCCCTAGACCACCTCGCGAGGCTACCAAATCCCTCATCTTCTCAGGTCCCTAAGTCCTCTCCCGAAGTTGGTCCCGGCCACTTCTCGAGGTAACTAAGTCTCACCCGGGCTACATAAGTCCTTCAATTGGGACTCCCAAAAAGTCCTCTTCTTGAAACACTACGAGCCATCCCATGAACTTCGTAGTTTTTCGACGAGGCAAGTATAATTGTTTCTAACTTTTTATAGGTACCCAAAGAAGAGAAACTTAAGGGATCAAGTTTGGTATTTCAAACCCCGAACCTACACTAGCATAAGCTTCAAGGGATTCCGGCGCCAAGAGATTGCTGATTGAAGAAATTCATAGAGACGACGACACACTATAGTTTTTCAGCCAACGCTTCGTGATTCACCAAGAAACTGGGGGCTTTTGATGGGATAATATCCTCTGGGTCTAATTAAAGATATTGGGTCTGTCCACGTGAGAATCCCACTAGGGAATCTTAACCCTAGGCTCTTATTATGATGCTATATAAGGGGCACAAATCCAAGAAGAAAGGGGAGCCGCCTTCTACATTCCACACCTATTGCATCCTCTCCGTTCACCTTCTCATTCTCGATGGAGCTTCGAGCTCCATCCATGGCTATCACACCAATATGATGCACAAATATACCTCCGATATATAATAAAATACCTCCATTGGCATGGTACCGCCAAAAAAGGTTCGTGGTTCTCACAAATTTGATTTCCACGTCAAAATATCTTGTCTACGCTCTTCTTTATATACTTTTATGTATTTTATATATATGTGTTTAATACCCGAAAATACATACCTAGTGGATATATTTTCTATCAACAAGATTACAAACGTGAATTTCAAACATATACGAATAATCTAGCGTTACATGTCCACGTACTCACCTAGATTATTTGACGAATTACACGAAACAAATTAATGAAGGGAACGAGCGATCGGCAGCAACAAGCATGACTCTGGCGACACACTTCGTCAACCCAGTGGCAATATTCCGATTTCGTATACTGCTCCATATATAGATATAGGCTGGGTGGGGACGGGTTTTGGTTTTGTTTTTGGGTCACGGGTAGGATTAGGAATTATATACATCCTCCGTCCCATTCTCTTTGTCTACTTACTTTTTGACACACCATCTAATGCACTTCCTTAATCCATTTTATCTTGTAATTTGTATATTAAAAAATTATAGAAATTATATATTAATAATCTATATGTTAAGACAAATCAAACAAGATCACACATGACTATATTTAGGCTTACACATTGAGAGAATTTGATGAGTCAAAGTGCTTAGATGAACAGTTCCAAAAGTCAAAAGTGGACAAAGAGAGTGAGACGGAGGTAGTATATTATTTTATTATTAAAATTTTTATATTTATTTATTGAATTATATCCTCTATTTTACTTATCACGCTTTACACATTAACCCAAATTTAACAAACTATATACCATTGGTCATCATTTTATGAGATCTACTCAGAAACCTTATTTTCAAATAAAAAGGTCAGCTTTACAAATAGTTCATATTTTTGGGTCACACCAAACCCAATAACCTAAGAAAAGTACTCAGTAATAAATTATAAGAATATGATGTGGCACACATGTGAATGAGAGAGGTGATGTGGTAAAGAAAATATAAAAGGTATCTATACCTAGACCTGGCAAAACTGACCCGGACCCGATAACCCGAACCGAATAACCCGGAATCGAACCCGATTTGACCCGAAAACTGAAGAACCGAAATAGAACCGAACACCCAAAATGATCCGAACTGAACTGAATGTATTCAGACCCGATTCTGATTAAACCCGAACCGATTAAACCTGAACCGATTAAACCCGAACCCGGTTAAACTCGAACCCGGTTAAACCCGGAATCGATTAGACCCGAACCCGATTAGACCCGAAATTGATCAAATTCATTAATATTTCATTTATCAAATGAATTTGATTGGAGAAAACGAATTACCTATATATTTTTACATATGTTGATGTGTTTCTAAAAAAACATATTTAAATTATGGGTGCAAACCATGTAACTACTTTCATGTACAAATATTTTACTTTGCATTTTATAATTTAAGTTAAAATACTTTTGTATTTTTATAGAAAGTATATAAAAATTATACGTAATATGTAGTTAACTAAGTTAACTAAATTTATTATGTGATTTATTCATTTATTAGTATGTATGTGTTTACATTATACTTGAACTAATATAAATTTAAATCGATATATACTCAAATCTATATAAACCCAAATCAATACAACCCGAATTGATACAAACCTTAACCGATACAATCCGAACCGATACAAATCCGAACCGATATAAACCCGAACCGATATAAACCCGAACCGATATAAACCCGAACCGATACAAACCCGAACTGATACAAACTCGAACCGAAACCGAACCGAAACCAAAAACCAATCAAACCGAAATAAACCTGGAACCAAACTGACCCAAACCGAACCGACCTGAACCGATTATAACATATATCCGAAAGAGAACTGATCCGAAAAGACCAGAACCGGAACCGAACCGATTGACCCAATTGCCAGGTCTATCTATACCCTCCACCCTTAGTCTTTTGAACATGGATAAAGCTATTTGTACACCAAGGTTTTTGTACCCAATTTGTACACCGCAGGTGTGCACTAATATTTTGTGTTGGTGTAATGCTAATTTTTGTTAACGCACCAACACTTTGTGTCAGTGTAAAATTTTGTTAATGCACCAACACTTTCTATCAATGTGAACTATCAAAATGTTGGTGTATACCTTTGATGTAAGTTTGGGGTACAAATTTTGGTGTAAATGTAGCATGGGTCTTTGAAAATAGGCAAGGAGTGTAGTTCTAAAATTAATATCCATCTTCTCATTTTGAACTATAATTCTTGACTAAAATTATATTAAATACCAATTCTTCAAATATAGGTTTAGACTTTAAAAAAAGAATTATACATTTAAAATTACATAAAAAACTTTAGAAAACAAATGTGACATGATAATACTATTTTATCAAATACTACCTCCGTCACAAAGTATTTGTCCACTTTCATTTTTACACACCATCCAATACATTTCTTTAATCCATTTTATCTTGTAATTTATATATTAAAAAATTATAGAAATTATATATTAATAATTTATATGTTAAGACAAATCAAACAAGATCACACATGACTATATTTAGGCTTACACATTGAGAGAATTTGATGAGTCAAAGTGCTTAGATGAATAGTTCTAAAAGTCAAAACTGGACGAATACTCCAGGACGGAGAGAGTAATTAATAAAAATGTACTATCTCCGTCCCAGAGTATTTGTCCACTTTCATTTTTACACACCACCCAATGCACTTCTTTAATCCATTTTATCTTGTAATTTGTATATTAAAAAATTATAGAAATTATATATTAATAATTTATATGTTAAGATAAATCAAATAAGATCACACATGACTATATTTAGGCTTAAACATTGAGAGAATTTGATGAGTCAAAGTGCTTAGATGAACAGTTTCAAAAGTCAAAACTGGACGAATACTCCGGGACGGAGGGAGTATATTGTATAAACGATCACATAATTTGACGATGTGATGAATAAAAAAAGTATAGATTAAAAAATCACACATAGTGGAGATGAACAAGTCAAACTGCAAGTTACCATTTGTAAATTCAAACTGCAAGTTACCATTTGTAAATTTAAATTTCCACTTTTTTAATCATTTGAAACGAATTTATTTATTCTTTTAATGAGTTCACAGTTTCACACATGCTAAGTAGGTGTGGACCCACATACAATCCAATGGGATCCCGAGACCCCACAGATATCTACATAATTTAATCAATAAACTTTTGAAAAATTGCACCATTTACCAATAAACTTTTGAAAAATTGCATGAATTTACCTTGAACTTTTAATATTGCACCAAACACCCCTAAATTTTTAAAATTGTTGCACCTAAAGTCCCTCTGTGCTAGATTTAGAGTGTGTTAGTGACACGCTCATCAATATACGTATTGGAACTTGGTGAAGATGCCTCAGATTTGATGAAGAGGTTGATGGATTGATGACGAGCTGTATCGACTAATGTCCAACCTTCAAATTCAGAAACCAAACACTAAATCAAGAATAATTATGTAAGGTTTAAAGATGTTAGAAATATAAAATACTCCCTCCATTTGGAAAAAGCTTTTCCACTTTGACTATAAGGCAAAATAAGAAAGTGTAAAATTATATTCCCTCCGTCCTACAATGATCTTCCCAGAGCACTATTCCAACTTCACGAGAATTTATATTTATTTGTGTTTTTTCATGGCCTATATGATAAAATAAAATATTCTTGTCACCACTTGTTTTGTTGAACTTTTGATGTAGTTTTTAAATATGTATGTTTTATTTTTCATTTCTATACCAATATTTAAATAAAATAGATTGAAAAAACTTGAGATTTTTCTTCGTTTTGCGAACCGGGAAGATCATTATAGGACGGAGGGAGTAGTTGACTTCCAATTTTGCCCTTGATGTGATGGGTAAAGTAAGATGTGATGGATTTATTATTAAAGAAAAAGTATGATGTGATAGGTAGAGTATGAAAAAGTAA